TTTTCATTTCACGTGAAAATTGAAATTAAACTAACGGCGTGTTTAGATGGCGAATTTTTTTGGTTTTGGGTACTGTAGCACTTTCGTTTGTATTTGGCAATTAGTGTCTAATTATGGACTAATTAGGTTCGAAAGTTTCGTCTCGCGATTTCTCACCCAACTGTGCAATTAGTTTTGTTTTTCGTCTACGTTTAGTACTACATGCATGTGCCACAAGATTCGATGTGACACTTTGGGGTGAAAATTTTTGGGAACTAAACATGGCCTAAGGGTTTGTTTGTATCTCATTTTTATAGTGAAAATCTTGGTTCTGAATAGTGAACGTAGAATCTGAACTTCGGGGAAAAAAGAAGAGATGTTTATATATCACTCCATGGTGATTATTGTTTTTGTTACATTGAAAACGTCTAAATAATAGGTTTGGTCTAGAATCCAACTACGAATCAATCTCTCTCTGTTGTCGGGCAAAAACACCCTAATTCCTAAAGTTTAGCCGTGTCACATCGGACATTCGGATGCTAACTAGAGGACTAAACATGAGCTTATTATAAAACTAATTGTACAGGAGTAGACTAATTAGCGAAACGAATCTATTAAGCCTAATTAATCCATAATTAGCAAAGGTTTACTGTAGCACCACATTGTCAACTCATAAACTAATTAGACTTAATATATTCGTCTCGTAAATTAGCCTCAATCTGTGTAATTAGTTTTGTAATTAGCCTATGTTTAATACTCCTAATTAGTATAAAGATTCGACGTGGCAGGAAATTATGCACCATGTTAAATCTTCTCTTCAAACTTCGCTATATCATCTGGATAAAGAAAATCATCAAAACGGGAGGTGCAAGTTCAGATATCTAATGACTCGTTGAACTGACAGTAAAAATGAACTGAACAAAAGGATAGCCTACACACAGCTACACCACACCATTTCTGCATGCTCCATTTGGTTACAGACCTTTTGCACGTTTTGTTTGCTTTGCGACCAGTAAATCTGAGCATGTTTAGCTCGCTACCCTTTTTTTAGGCACGCGCTGCAATGAGGCTGTGAACTTGCAAATGCAAAACGAGCTCATTTTAGACAGAATTGACAGCAGAAACACTAAAATTGGACTTCACAAGGCTTCTAGTACACCCCTATAAAATCTCGATCCCGCTAATTCATACTTCAGATCAATCCACAAATAAATCGACATCTTCTGCTCCTCTCTTTTCATCGATCTCCATCAGGCCAAAGAGCAAAAAGAAAGCTGAACCACGGTGTTTAGATAAAAGAACAAGACAACAAGGAAGATTATTCGGACTCCACAACATGGGTTTCTTCCACGGGAACACCTCGAAGCAGACCTCCAGGGTTAAGAAGCTTCTCAAGCTGGCCTTGTCGCGTATCGCCATTGCCCAACGTCCTCGGCTTGCTCGCAAGTCAATCTCACGCCGTGATGTCAGCCAGCTCCTCGAGCTCGGCCACCTCCACCGTGCCTTCCTTCGTGTACGGACCTGTGATTTCTAAATGCACATCAATTGTGGTGCCACACTCTCTTCTAATTCGGTTGAACTAATGCTTGTGCACATCTTTCTTGGTGCAGGCAGAGCAGGTCATAGAGGAGGACAACATGCTTCAAGCCTTCGACATCATTGAGCTGTACTGCAAATGTCTTATTGAGATTTGAGCATGCTGCATATTTGGACAAACCACAGTACGTACATACCAGATTTGATCTCCTATTTTAAGTATTATTGGCTCTCGCATGCTTTTCAGTTGCATGACCACTGTGTAACTGTGTTTGGTGTGCAGGGAGTGTAGCGAGGATACCAAAGAAGCGACAGCCGGGATCATGTTTGCCGCTAGGTGGTGCGGCGACGTGCCGGAGTTGCTCGTCGCACGAAACATCCTCGCAGATAAATTCGATTCGGTGGCGATTTCACTGTGGCGGCAAAGGAGGGAACCGGAATTGTCAATCCGATGGTAATTAATTTCACATTGTTCATTTCTGCCTTTCTGGCACATCCAATTGATTTGAAACTGAAAAAAAGGATTCCTAACATTCTCAGGATTGGTTCGTGTTACTATTGCTGCAGCTGGTGTGGAAATTGTCCGGTGACAGAACAAACGTGGAGCTGAAGAAGAAGGTGGCCAAGGAGATCGCTGCTGAAAACAATATACTGGTGGACTTCTCTGAAGTCTAGGAAGCATTGAAGTGGTAGGACGACATTGGCAACTGTCCAAGCTGCTGAAATTTTTGCCACAGACGATGCGAGAAGAAGGCATGTGTGAAATTTCAGGGTCGGACTATGACTGTCCTGCCCTACAAAGACAACTTTCTTTCCCCACAAAAGACAGCTTTGGAGTTTGGAGTCTGGACTCGACAATTCCAATATGGCGGATCAAACTTTCTAGCCTTCAAATGCAACAAAATTTGCTAGCGTAACAGATGGATTGTGCGTGAAGCCATTGAGAATGTGCATATCTATGTTACTGGTCTTTTGTATATACTAATAGACGTGTACTTCTCGTACACACGTGTTTAGGGTTAATGATAGCAACGTTATATATTATCATTATTTTAGATAAAGTTTTAGATTGATCGGTACTTAAAGTAACATATGATACATCCATTATTTTGTTAATGGGACATCATGATTGTTTTTTTTCTTCTAAAAAGATGTTTTAAAGAGATTGCATGCAGTAAATAATCAAAGAAAATTAAATTAATAAATATTAAGAAAGGTCATAACTTGTAATAAATATATTAACGTGGTATGAAATGTAATAGTGCTTAAATTCAATTTGTCAACAACACTTCTCGTACATGGGTGAATCTTGAAGTACGGTCACGTCTAAGAAGGGGGGTTTTGAATTAGGCAACTTAAAAACTAATGGTCTCTAAAACATACTTATCAAAACCTATGCTACATATCTATCTAGATGTGCGCTACGATTTTGCAAAGTGTTGCTATCTCTAATAAAAAAGAGTTATGCAATCTAGGTTCCAATCCTATTCAACTAACCTAACAAGCTAAAATAGAAATGGTGAAACACACAACATAGGAAAAAAAGTAAATGCAGAAAGCGTAAATGAGTTAGCGACAAGCCCAAATAGAAATGGTAAAACACACAACCTACGAAAATAAGTAAATGCAAAAAGCGTAAATGAGTTAGAGATATACAAACTCCCGTGACGATTTTCCAGAAACGAATACATATTTGGTTATGAATATTTTGGATAAAATTTGATTGGAAATTGACATCATGTATGTCCAAATTTTTGAAAGTTGCTATCTCTAATAAAAAAGTTATGCAATCTAGGTTCCAAAATACAACTAACCTAACAAGCTAGAATAGAAATGGTGAAACATATAACCTAGGATAAAAAGTACATTTCATATGAATAATCAATCCTTCAAGCCACTAGAAATGGTCTACCACATACGGGCAATGGAAATGCAAAAAACAGATGGGCACAATTGAGTTTTTGTTTTGTTTTGTTTTCCAAAACGAATGGATTATTTTTGGAATTTTGTCAAAATTTTGATTGAAAAGATGCATCATCTATATTATCATATTAGTTTCATATACAATACTGATGTAAATAAAGACGCAGGATACGATACATTTCTTCCAACCAATCAATCCTTCGGCCGCTCTCTCTCTCCCTACTGGTGAGCAATGGTGGACACAAAACAGATGGGGAACAATTTTTTTTCCTTTGTTTGTTTTAGAATTAGGGCTTATTTTTAATTTTGTCAAATTTGGTTTCTAGTGTGCATCATCTATATGTGCCTGATGATGATGACATTTTGGAATAAGGTCTCTTCAGCCTCTCCGTGTCTCGATGAGGTTCAATCTGATGTTGGCAAAGAGACGGTGAGACTTTGATCTATCGGATCTATTGATATTCTTTAGATCTTGACCATTATCATGCTTATTTCATATACCTGATGGTTGAAGAGTAGACGCAGAACTCCTTCTTCCAACCACTGTGGAAACGGGATTACGTTTGAACCAACTGGTGAGCTCGCCCAACATATTGAAATGGGGATAATTAGGATTCCATTCAATTTTTTACCAGTGTAGTGGATTCTTATTAATACTAATTTGGTTTCTAGTGTCATCGATGCCAAATTTTTGCAAAATGACATTTTGGAATAAGGTCTCTTCAGCCTCTCCGTGTCTCGATGACGTTCAATCTGATGTTGGCAAAGAGACGGTGAGACTTTGATCTATCGGATCTATTGATATTCTTTAGATCTTGACATTTCGTGTGCTTATCAGATGAAGCAGATGGTTGAAGAGTATATAGAACTCCTTCATGAATCCTGTGGAAACGGGATTACGTTTGAACTTACACAAAGCCCAACATATTGAAATGGGGATAACTAGGATTCCATTCAATTTTGCACCAGTGTAGTGTTCCATACTAAACATTTGTTTGCGTTTTTTTTTGGGGTAGGGGTGAGGGGAATTCCTGCACCAAAATCAAAATCAGTGCCACACTTTCTCCTGAAGTCAGTAAAACAGGTAGTAAAAATCTAACAAAAGACAGCAAAACGAGCTAGTAACACAAAATATCAGACAACTTAGAGATAGCAAGACTATCTCTTTGCGCGTGTTCCATTTGCTCTCTGGCAAATATATTGCATGTGTAATTCGCTGCACCTCTATTAACTTTTCTTTCCACGTTTACCTCAGCTCCTTTCTTTAGGCATGTGTGCAAGTGCAACGGAGCTGTGATCTTGCAAATGCAGAAGGAGTGCGTTTAAACCGAACTGACAGCAGATACACCAAATTTGGAGTTCCCAAACAAGAAGAACGGCGCTATAAAACCTTTGCCCTCCGACAGACTTCCTCATCAGTCCACAAGCAAGTCATCTTCTTCTTGCCCGTCCTCTCAACCAAGCAAAGGACCAACGGGGCAACCAGGCTTGGCATTTACATAACAGAGTAACGAAGGCAGCACCAGGAACACCGTCCAAACTCCGGCAACAGGCGATCAACAATGGGCTTCATCCACAGGAGGACCTCCAAGCAGACCAGCAAGGTGAAGACCCTTCTAGGGCTCGCCTTGTCCCGCCTCGCCGCTGCCCGCCGTCCCCGCCTCGCTCGCAAGTCAATTTCCCGCAGCGATGTGGGACAGCTACTAGCACTCAGACACCTCGATCGTGCTCTCCACCGTGTATGGCCAGACTATCATCCCTAACATCCTGTTAAATGAAGCTTCATACTCTTCAAATGCAGGCTTACCGATGCTGCACCGTCTCTATCTCCATGTAGGCAGAGCAGCTCATAGAGGAGGACAACATGCTGGAGGCATTCAACATAATAGAGCTATACTGCAATCGCTTCATCGAGCACGCAAAGCAGTTAGACAAGCCCCAGTATGCATCTTCTTTACACCCTAACATCTGAGCTTATCTTGTTCTCATATTTGGCACTAATGTTTCACACCACTTTCATGTTTGCATGACTAAACTGTTCAAATTTAATCTTGTGTGTAGTGAATGCGGCGTAGACATTCGGGAGGCAGCCGCCGGGATCATGTTTGCAGCTGGGAGGTGCAGCGATCTGCCGGAGCTCCTGTTTGCACGCACTATACTGTTCCTCGTCCTAGAGTTTACTCCATATCACATCAGATATTTAAATACATGCATGAAATATTAAATATAAATTAAAAAATAAATAATTATACAGATTACGACTAATTTGCGAAACGAATTTTTTAAGCCTAATTAGTCCATAATTTGATAATGTGGTGTTACCGTAAATATGTGCTAATGACGAATTAATTAGGCTTAATAAATTCATCTCGCGGATTACTGAGAACTTCTATAATTTATTTTATTATTACTATCCAAATACTCCCATGTGACACCCTAATGTGATATCCCTAAACTTTATTCCCTGAATTTAAACACCACCTAAGTTTGGAGGCGACTTTGCAATGATGGCAAAGGAAGGCACTGGCGTCGTCGACCCCATGGTAACTAGAACAATATCCTATATTCATTCATGGTCCCATCATATTCAATCGGAACTGGAAACATGGATAGCTGGAATTTACACGGTTCGTTTGTGCTGCCCTTTCAGTTGGTCTGGAAGCTATCTGGCAACAAAAGAAACATGGAGCTGAAGAAAAAGGTGGTGAAAGAGATTGCTGCTGAGAACAATGTGCTACTGGAATTTTCTGAGCAGGATGGCAGCAGCAACGTTCCGCACCATCATGAACTCAACCACGAAGCTATATACCAAACTGACATGGATGAAAGTTCAGAGTCAGACTCTTACCATTCTCCCTCGCGCAACAAGGATCCATGCGATATGTCCAACTCTGATGGAACAAACAACGGGCAGCCGAAACAAAAGAACATGAAAACTTCGGTGTGCACAAGAAGATGAACTTTCAGAGCATCCAGCTCAGATGCAACAATCCAGAATGAGGAAATGCGATGTTTAGCTTCCAAACTTACCAAGTTATGGGTGTGCACATGTTAAATCTGTAACTGTAAAGCAACTAACAATGTCCAATTAATTGAGTCAGCAAAACCTTCCATTTCTTCATGAACAGCCACAGCAGTAGTCACCAGTTATATAATCAACATAATACTGCCCTTTCTTCTCCAATCCATCAAGTCTCTAAAAAGAGAAGCCCACCTTGCCACAGAATTTACATACAACCTAATACAGGTTCTTGACCATAGGCCATAGAACCTGTTAAAATATGTGAAAGATCTCCACTTGATGTGGTGTTTGTCTTTTGAAAATTCTTTGTGGATATATATTTGTGAAATCTACTTTTTAATGTTGTACATGTACTTGATGGGTTAATATGAGATCGCTACAAATGATGTTGAGAGGTCTCTTATGCACTGAGAAAATCACATGCTACTAAAACATGTGGTTTTAAACTTACTGTGTTTTAAAATGAATGACCTAAATATCTAAAGTGTTTTAAAATCAAAGTTAGCAAGAGGAAAAGAAAAATATGAAAGCACCAGCTAGCAGAGAGGGGCGGAGGACAGGCCACCACACCATGCTTGTGTGCTATGCAAGTCAGAATAAGGCACAACAGCCTGACACCAGATCTTCTCAGACTGAGAGACACGAATGATGGAATAACATAGGGCCTCTACCACAATAGCTTTCCTCTATCCCCCCTATCTAAGACTCCTAATTGCTGCACTCTCAAGAAACTAAGGAATCATGATTCGCCAGCAACCAAGAGGAATCTACTGGGTAACTTGACATGAAACATGTATGTCAGCAGGTATCGGTATCGCTTCATTCAGTCAGTCACACATTGCCTAATGCCAGTAGTTGTAGCCTAGCTGCCTAGGGCTCCAGAATAAGGTACTACATAGATAATCAGTAATCTAGTCTGAAGAAAGCCATAAGCTATCTAGTCTGGTTTTGGTTTTGTACCCTCCGTAAAAAAAAGGATGCAATTCTGGCTTTGGACTAAGTAAAACTTTCTTAAGTTTAACTAAGTTTATATAAAATATTAGTAACATTTGGGACTCCAAATAGGTATACTATGAAAATATATTTCATGATGAGTCTAACAATAATTATTTGGTATCATAAATAATATTATTTTTTATATATTTGGTCCAAGTTGAGATAAATTGACTTGGTAGAAAGCTAGAATTGCATCCTTTTTGGGATAGAGGGAGTAACTGAGATCAGTGTGTCAGTGGGGAAATTTCATCAAATAGCTGATGAGCACTACAATTGGCCCCAGTGCCCCACTGCGACCGTGCCAATTCGGTACTGTGCTAACATAGTCGCGTCCAAAGTGCAAGCAAACAACCACAGCCAAAAATCAGCGCCAGCGGAAGAGTACTAGCGCAAGGCAATAACCGCAATCACTCAAGCAGATTGCTTTGCAGACGATAGCAAGAGATAATGACAGTAGAATTTAGTAATTTATTGTACAGAAAGAAGCTATATCATGACAATCATCCAGCAAAGGTGATAACACAGCAGTTCATAGTTTCATCACCACACAAAAGGATCGAATCCGGAAAGGGAAACGATGAGGAAGAAAAGGGCGCAGCACCTCGTCCATCACTGCACCTTCAACTCCATCACGCTCTTGGCCTTGGGGGCGTAGAGCGAGTAAACCAACGCTTGCCGCTTCGCAACCTCTAGATGCTTCTTCCCCTCCGCGAACGCCGCCGCGGCGGCCTGCGCGTCGGCGAGGGCGCGGTTTTCGCGGAAGGCGTCCGCGCCGCGTCGGCGCGTGTACTCGCGGATGTTGTAGTCCGAGAACTGCTTCGCCGTGCGGAGTAGGGACCGGAAGAGCGCCAGCACTTCTGCCCTCGTCGGGGCCGCCGCCGCCGCCGCCATCCTACCGTGCCGCGGTGCCGAAAGCGCTCGAGGAGGGGAGAGTCGGAGGCGGAGAGGCCTGTTGCGACTGCGAGTTGGTCTCCGCTTGCGAAGGTTTTTCTGGGTAGTGCGCCGTCCGATCCGAGGGCCTAATGGGCCAGATAGGGGTGTGTTTGTAACGGTGGCCCAAAACATGTAGAGAGGCTGAAAGGGCCTTCCAAATTGTCCCTTCTACACACTGTCGAGGAGGGCAGCGGCCAGCGGAAGGGACGAGCCGACGCCGGTGGGCGGCGGCGGCGGTCGCGCAGCAGCGTTATCCTTCAGCTTCGATCACGTTGGTGGCGGCGCCGGCCACAAAAGGCTCACCCACCGAGGATTTGACGGAGTGCATTTTTCTCCTTCCCCCCGTCGTACCCGTTTCTTGGGCTTGGGTAACAACAGCTGAAGCGGTGGTGCGTAGTTCGTTCGTCGATTTGGTAATATCCGATCCATGTGGTGTTTGAACTTGTTTATAGGGCATGCCCTGAGTCGTGAGAGGTGACAGGAAACTTGTTTAATTTTCGCTGCCGTAGGTGCCGCAGTCGGTGTTCGGCGCAGGGGGAGCAATGGGCTCGGTCTCGGACTGCCAGGCGAATGGCAACCACCAGCCGGCGGCGGCGGCAGAGGCGGAGCAGGTCGTCGAGGAGGGCGATGCCGGCGACACGATCAATGGCAACTACCAGCCGCCGCAGCCGGTGGCTCAGGCGGGGCAGGTCGTCGAGGAGGGCGATGCCGGCGTGACGATGGAAGGCGTCGCTTCCATCGCCTTGCTGCCTACCGGTGCCATCTCCGGCCATTTCATTCGACTCCCGGGCTCCATCTGCTACGGGCTACACGGCACCCGTATTCATCTCTCCCCATTCCCCCTACAGCTGTTGCTGATTTGTTCCAAGTTTCACGCTTGAGAAAAATATTGTTATGCTGTTCTCATTTCTAACAAAAATCACCAAAACATTTTTTTTTCAATGCACAAGATGAATGGTAGTGTTATATATCATAAGGATGGTTTCTCATCTGTTGGAATTATTTTACCTCTTTTTGGTGCCACCATCCCGACCAATACCAGTCACCAGACCAACATTTATGCTCTTACCCAGCATTTTGTGGCAATAAAAAGTATGTATAAAATTGTATAACGTCTTGAGCTAGGAGCTTCCCTTTTTAAAAAAGGGCATACCAAATGCATTTTTGGGAAGGGTGTCAATAAAAGTATGTAGGAGACCGTTGTATAACGTCTTGAGCTAGGAGCTTCCCTTTTATGTTATTGATTTTTTTAGATTCTAAAAAGGGGCTATATCTTCTTGGTAGCTTTGGTGAGATAACATGTTCTCAATTATTTTAGTGGATTTGAGATGGTTGGTTGGGAATACTTTGTTCTTTGCACTAGTTCACCATCTGTGTCTTTAATTTTTGCAATATGGAACAGGAGATAAGTTTGAAATTATATTGTCATAAGAAGATATTAGCTTATTTTGTTATTTTCTTCCCTTTTCTATTATGTAAGCGATATCCTGCGAGAGGGAATGTAGCCGAGGAGAGGACTACCGCCTTATAAAGCTCATCATCATTGATTTTAAGGTGAGGCATGTCTTATGTATTTGCTTTGCTCATCAACCATATCTTGTACTAATCAATAATCCTGTTTTTAACTAAAAAACTATCTTGGTCATTTTTGGTCCATCGTAGTTGATGTAAAAAGATCATGCACATACACCTAGTTATTATATTTATCATCAAAGGATAAAATGAGTAAATGACATCTTTTTTTAAGAGGGGAATGGGGAACTTGAACCCATACCTCATCTACTACCATTTTGTGCTCAAGGCTCAAGCAGTAGGATAAATGTGTGCCCTCATGAAACTGTGAAGTCTGTGCGACAGAGCCAAAAGAGATAATCTTTTGTCATGGAACTATGTGGCTTCTGTGACAGAGGCTAATTTTTCTCATTAAACTGTGCATTTTGTGAAACAGAGAATAACTTTCTCCACAATGTATGATGTTTCTGGGCTGAGGTTAGCTTTTCTCATCAATCTGTGATGCTGATGTAACAGAGCAAGAGAGAGAAGGTGCTTGTGGTGGAATGCAGGGGCCATGATGCTGCTCGATTACAAAACATTGACCATTTGCATGGGTAAATTTTTATTATTAGATTTCACAGCTCAGTTTGGTGCTACTGAATTTACCTTTTGTCAAGTGGTGTTTTTGTTGCTCAGAGCCTCAGACGTGAGGGTTTGCGTAAATTTCTGTCAGGGTACATGAATGGAGAATCGATATGGCTTCTTGTGTCCCATTTCCAGTTAACATGTTATGTTAGGAATTCTTGTCTTATTATTTTGGGCATGTCTGGAACATAACAATCTTGTGTGAAGTACCATATTGCATCACGCTGTATTTTCAGCAGAGTTTTTTTTGTAGTGTCTTCGAGCTAGGCTTATCAAGGGTATGTTTTGCCAGACATTTAGAGTAATCTAATCTAGAAATGATAGTAGCTTGGAGTACCGCTAAGTTTTCTAACACACACTTGACCTCCAGTGTTCAAATCGCGGAACAGATTCACTGCACACTCTGCACATTTTGGTGGTGCATCTGGTCTGTTAGCATCGATATATATCTCCCAAGTTGCTATCATCTCTTAATTTTGGATATGGGAGGTGAGGCATGGTGTGTCACAAAGCATACCAACTTACAGTCTTTTCTAATTAGATTATTCAAGATGACTGTGGAGCTATGTGCTTGATAATCTCAGCATGCTCTATATGTAAAATGTATCTGTTTTTAGGGATTTTTATTTAGCTATTTCATTATGGCGTGTTATTCGAACAGCCAAAGAGCTATGACTGATCAGCTCTTAATCTTACTTGTAACGAAGATGTGCTACTACTTTAACACTTCTTCATAATTCACAACTGCTTATTAATGTAGATGGTGTGGCATCTACATACCATGAGTCATGCCCAGTGCTTTAAAGCTAGCAAGGCCCCTTTTTTTCGAAGAAACTTGGGAAAGGGCATGGAGCTCCTACAATTCAGTTAAGAAGAAATAATTGACCTGGTTTATGAGGGAATCTGGGCCTAAAAACATACAACCACACAATTTAAAAAAAAAACATACAACCACACGGTTAACTAAAGGAAAACCAGTGAAAAAACCTAACCATGACAGCCCAGGTGACTCACCCACCCAACAAGGTCCTTTCTACACAGTGCCACATCAGTCAAACATTAGAGCAAGCCTTAGCTGCATAATGGACTGATGCTTAAGTTCTTTTCTGAGTTAATACACTTGAATATTGATGAACTCAAGCCCCTATTCCCTTTTTCTTTTTCTTTTTCTTTTTGGTCTCTGAAGTCCAACTTGGCAATCTATGAGTTTTTTCTAGCACAAAAAAGTCTTCAAACATGTCATCCTTTTACAAGATAATAGTGATTCTTTGGACAACGGTAAACAGTTGCATGGTGGTGCCAATAAAATTAATGCGCCAACACTGATGCTTCTGTTCTGTAAGTAATACCATGCTCAATTCTCTAAGACTGATAATCTCCTTGCTGTGGATGAACCCTCACTGGTATTTACTGATACCTGTTAGTGAGTTCCTAGAATGATTTCGGTTTCCCTAAGACAAATAAACTACTGTGCAGGTGGGAAGATGACATTGTTGGCTTGGTTGAGAAGGAACATGGAAATCAGAAAGTCTTGCTCTCTTTTGAATGTGAGACGCTGAAGGCTGATAAAGACGCTGAAGATCATATTACCAAATATATGCCAAATCTATGTGGACTGGATGCAGTTGGTAAGCACTAAGACTAGAATATCTGCATAAATTACGAGAAGCGTCAACATGAATACCAGTAATTTAGCGTAAATATGCCATGTATGCGCGAAATCTGCTGGGATGAACAGCATTAGATAGCATGGATAACCATTAAGTCTACAAAGTGCTACACAGTGTGCACAGGATTTTCAGTCATTCAACAGCTAGATTTTCCAGCAGCTGTGGCCACAACCACAACCTTTATGTGCTGTAGTATATTTCATTATTCATTCTTCCTTGATTTGCAGTAAATATAGGGAAAATGAGCATCTCGGGCATCAATCTCGACGAGGACGACGAACCAAGAGGGGACAACTGAGAGCAGATGCGCTTTGCTAGAGCGTGTGAACAGTGGCCATTGTTCACCCTCCTGTTGCTTTTTAGAGGCACCGGTATACTCTGCACGAGTCACCATCAAACGCTTACTACACTGCACTGAATATAGCAATCTGATAAATGTCTCACTACCAATGCATGTACTTAAAATTCTGTGGCTGTGGATCGGATTCGTCATATGTTTCAACTTTCAAGGGTTGGTTGCTCCTGCTGGGTGCATTTCTTGTCCTTGGCGGTACTGTTTGTCACGCTTTGTAGTTTGTACGTATGCCTAGCATTGCTTTGTCTGTTTATGAGAGTGGTGCTGTCTGCTTGTGGTTCGTCTGTTCTGTTGCGGCCGTGAAGAGGGCCCGGTTTCATCTGTGACGCACATGGCTTTGCATGCTGCACGGCACAGCAGGTACCGTCCTTTTGCGTTTTTGCCATTGCATTGCACTGCAGTACCGATGTGCACTGCAAATGGGTCGATCTGTCCTTGTTCGTTTGGATTTGGAGAAAAATACTGTTCGTTGATTAATAAGTCATGATTTGTAAGTCAAATACGACTAAGCAGGCTGCCGGGTCCTCCGATGGAACTTTTGCACTGCCATGGGTCGATCTGGTCATCTGGGTCCTCCGATTGAACATCGAAGTTTAGTGGGTTTCAGATCGGTCAGGAAGGAGGGTTCTAGTCGTGCTATTATAAAAAGGTTTGTAATTTTTTATAACCCATTAAAAATTTGAGTGGTCACAGAGTGCCACTTTTAGGAACTCTTTGCTCTTCCCGTCATTTCTGTTAGATTCCGTTAGTCGTCATTTCTGTCAGATTCCGTTAGTTTTTAACGGTTTAACCGTTCTAACACATGGGTTCAGCTAGTTAAAATATCTAGAATGCCCTCGTCTCTCGTTTCTCGCTCCTATCCTCTACCGGACGAGCAGGTCCTCGTTGGGCGCGGCAGTCGTAGAGCCCGGCGGCTCCTCTGCAGCGGGCGGCGAGCAGCCGGGTCGCGCAGGGTGGTGCGGGCGTGTGACTTCAAGGTCGTCTTCTCTCACGGCTTCATCGGCTCCCGCGTCGACACCAGCTCCCATGACTGCCGCACCGTACCTCGCCGCGTGGCGTGAGCGCCCGCGCCTGGGTCGTCCTCGGCTCCGACGCCGTGCTCTGCTCGGACTTCGGATAGGAGAATGCCTTTGCTGTGGTGCCGTAGGACCTCCATGGTCGCGCCCGTGCCGTTGCCGAGGATCAGCCCCGCATCTGCGTCCGCGACGACAGCACCTGGCGTGCGGATGCGGCTTCATGGCGCGGTGACGACAGCACCCGGCGGGATCTACGACGACTTGCCGTGGACACCCTTCCTTACCCCATCGTCGCCTCCGCCGTCGGCATCGTTATCGAGTAGGCTGTAGGCGCGTGTCCAAGGCCAGGATTGCGTTCGTAGGCTGTAGGCGCGGTGATGCACTAATGTTGGAGTCGCTGACGGGGCGGCGCACCATCTTCAAGGAGGCGGAGAGCGGGAGCCCCACGGCCGCTTTTGCACGCTGCGCAGCCTTGGCTGTTCCACCGCTACCTCGCGCACAAGCCGCTGCTGGTGCTGCTTTCGGCCGGCGACGTCGATCTCTTGGGCGCCATGGACGCTGGTTTCACGTACTCGGACGCCGAAGATCATATTGCCAAATACATGCCAAATCCATGTGACTGGATGCAGTTGGTAAGCACTAAGACTCTGCATAAATTACGAGAAATGTTCAACATGAATACCAGTAATTTAGCGTAAATATGCCATGCATGCACGAAATCTGCTCGGATGAACAGCATTGGATAGCATGGATAACCATTAAGTCTATACAAAGACACAAAGTGCTACACAGTGTGCAACCCCTTATCAGTAGCACAGGATTTTCATTCAACAGCTAGATTTTCCAGCAGCTGTGGCCACAACCGTGTTGTAGTATTTCATTCATTCTTCCTTGATTTGCAGTAAATATAGGGAAAATGAGCATCTCAGGCATCAATCTCGACGAGGACGACGAACCAAAACCAAGAGGGGACAACTGAGAGCAGATGCGCTTTGCTAGAGCGTGTGAAACAGTGGTCATTGTTCACCAGCGCTGGTAAACTCTGCACGAGTCACTATCAAACGCTTACACTGCACTGAATATAGCAATCTGATAAATGTCTCACTACCAATGCATGTACTTAAAATTCTGTGGCTGTGAATCGGATTTCAAAACTCTTTATACGTTTCAACTTTCAAGTTACCACGCCGCTTCTGGCACGAATCCCAAGGGTTGGTTGCTCCTGCTGGGTGCATTTCTTGTCCCTGGCGGCACTGTTTGTCACGCTTTGTACGTATGCCTAGCATTGCTTGTTTATTAGAGTGGTGCTGTGGTTCGTCTGTTCTGTTGCGACCATGAAGAGGGCCCGGGGTCATCCGTGACGCACATGGCTTTGCATGCTGCACGGCACAGCAGGTGCCGTCCTTTTGCGGTTTTGCCATTGCACTGCAGTCCTGATGTGCACTGCCTTGGGTCGATCTCGGTCCTCCGGTTGAAGTTCCAGTGGTTTTCAGATCAGTCAGGGCCTCAGGGGGATCGGACGGACCGGCGGCATGGACGATGCAAGCATGCAGCCGAACAGGTTGGTTGCTGGCTGCTCCAACGGAACCGGGTTTTTTGATCGTGCACTCGTCATGCCTAGTTTAGTTACTCGTATTAAAGTTTACTCTCTTTCACATTGAATGTTTAGACATAGTATTAAATATAGACTAAAAAAACAATAATTATATAGATTGCGACTAATTTACTACACGAATTTTTAAACCTAATTAATTCATAATTTGACAATGTGGTGCTATAGTCAACATATGTGCTAATGATGAATTAATTAGACTTAATAAATTTATCTCGCGGATTACTGAAAATTTTTATAATTTATTTTATTATTACTATCAAACAGATATCTCGATTGACATCTGATACGACATCTCTCAACTTTCGTCGCCGGATTTAAACACCATCGAAATCATCACGTGAGAATCCTAGACTGATCATTACCCAAAGAGACCACGCAGGAATACAGGAGACTTCCACAGTGTATACGTACAACGGCAGGTGAGCAGGAGGGGAAAAGCGTGGCATCGGGGCCCACGCCCAAGAGCAAGTAGTGCATGGTTGCATGCCCATCCCCACGGCTCTGCTCTTTCGTCAGGACGTGCTTCACACTCCGCCCGCACAAAATTGTCACCCCGGGTGAGCCTCTGATCTGCCGCCACGTGCCTACCATCGAGATCCTACGGACCCAGTCGCTTGACCCGGTCCGCACGCCCGCTCTAGCTCGTGGCGGAACGAACGTGGAGAACGCGAGGGGAATCGTACCGTTGTTCTGACACGTCGGGCCCGGAGGCTGCGGTCCCAGGATGCAGTGAGGTTGAGGGTCGTTAGGCTGTGTATTTCCCTGGGCTCGCCCGTGCCACGGAATTACCCGGAGAAAGTGCGGGCGTGAGGGACGAGCCTGAGCGGCGAGAGAAAATAGAGCGGGGAGACCGGAGCGGAGGAGGAGGCCAGGAGGGAGGGAGGGGATCGAGAGGAACGCGCGCCAACAGAAGAGAGGAAGAGGAAGGTGGCGGGGCCGGTTCCGCGCGCGCCGACGTGAGATTCTGGGCCGCCCGTGCCCGCAGGTGAGCCGCATTGCCTCCTCCGCTCTTCGATCGGTGCGCGTCGCGCATTTCAGGGGGTGGTGTGCGGAATCCTTTGTAGGTTGGGATCGAGGCACATTTGAGGCAATGGGGTTGCCGGGTGCTCATCTGGCTTCAGGATGCTGTGCAGGCTGCATTCGTTTTGGGGGACACCACTTGCGCGTCAGAAGAGCCTTTCTCCGCCGTGTTGCTGTTGCATGCGGGAGGGGGTGGCCCATTTTGTGCTTCATTCATTGACGAATTAGATCAATTGTTGTAGGGTGCAGTGCATCAGATCGTTGCGGGTGTGGCTTTTGACCCAGGAGATTTTTGTTAGCGGGCAGAAATGACAAGATTTTCAAAACAATTCTGGGTCCGTGTCATGTGCAGTGTAAACTTCTCTCTTCTATATTTTAGTGCAAAATTTCTTGGTGATATCGTGTTCCCGACCCATTGAAGAAAGGTGCTCTGATGCCGTGCAGCTTTAACTCTCTCCTCAGAAGCAAAATGTTTTGGCTGAATTGCAGTCAGCATGTTGAGTGAGGCGAGACATAGCAAAGCTTATGAGTGGAATGCTGCTTCAAAGCACTGCGGTTTTAATTCTAGAAGAAAGAGGGGATATAGACAATTATGCAGTTACTTCTGTGTTAAGAATCATTTAGAGGTTTTCCAAAAAAAAGAATCATTTAGAAAGTTAATGCTTTGGCAGTTTGGCACCCGAAATTCTACCATGAACCCAAGTTCAATTATTTGCGTGCTTCATGATGTTGGAACTGTAACTCTTATCTGCCTATCATTTCTACTATAGTTTTCGTTCTCTAAAATGTATATTATATATACTATTACATTGAACAAGACCACGAGAGTTTCCATAGTTTTATTAAATTTTCCCTCTCTTTGTGACTATGTGGTGTTGTGCTATATGATACCCCAGGTTCAAATAATGGATTAAAAACTTAAGCTGACACTTATGGTGGATGCTGAATTCAACCCAGTGAATCCGAAGCTGACCCATGAAGAACTAAAATAAGCTTTATGCTTCAGTGCCTTCTGGTAACCTCCCTATTCCTGTGAAAATCTAGATTGGAATTCAGATCATATCACAGCCGCTCTTGCTTAGCTATAATTTGTATGATACTACAAATCGATAGGATTGGTAGGTCAGCAATTGGGCTAACTGGTAGTTCGTGCACATATTTTCAGTCACTGTGCATGATCATGGCTTAGCTAATGTTGTTGTTAAAAAAAAAATTCTCATAACATGGGGAATTGGAGTTTATGCATGAGGATTATTACTTGAAGAATTTATAAAGCTAGTTCAAATTTTAAAGAATTCATCCATATTACCAGGTTCCAACAGAAAACCACTAAAACATGATTTCCTGTTGGAACCTGGTAGTTTCTTTCTTTTCTATTATTCCTGCATAGAATAACTCTAATGAAATCATCATTAGTAACACTGTACTTATCGGTGGGACAGAAATCATCCTGAGGTCTTCATAAGTCAGCAACCTAGAGCACAAAATGTCAGCTCCAGAATTCAGGACTTCTTACCAGCAAGTAAGGGGGGGGCATATGTTTGATGTTTCACTTACATTCTTAATTCGCCTATCTTTTCCATGTCCTGATCCTGTTAGTGAATTTATTAGTAGTTTTTATTGGACTTTACCATGTCGGTTTAGTGAAGTTCAGTTGATTCTTAGTTTCACTTAAAAGATACTGGATTAATGTAATGTTGCAACACAAAGCGAGTTGATAGAGCTCAGTTTGGTTGATCAACGGGTAAAATGGCTGTTATGTTATTCATATAGTTCATTGTTCTACTGGAATGGTACCATTGTTCTCTCTGATTTGCTCTCGAGATTGTTTTTGCTAACAGTATATACACATAATTGCTCATGTAAAAAGGTTGCACTTTTCCTCTTTTTAATTAAACTGAAGTTCCAAAAGGTCTTGCATCCTTGGATTGTTGCATTTTTCTGAGTATTAATTTAACCTGCTTTGTTTCATATTCTTGACAGGTATCATCTTCACAGTCCCCTGAGAATGTCGGTCAACTCAAGGTCTGCCGATGTGGGTCGGGAGACTCTAACTTTCAGATCACTAATAAATCTGACACTGGTGAAAATTCACCGACAACTTGTCCAAACTGTCAGGTCCGTTGGATTTTCTTGCAGTTAAAAAAAAATGTGTTTTCACAAAGCTGTGCTTGGTTGTACATAAAAACAAGGACGCAAAGGGCATTCTCCCAATGGCCTTTCAATGTTCTATAACTAGAAGATACCCCACCCATTCCTGATGTGGATATCTTGCAATTAAGAGGTTGGAAGTTAATGGGATGACATGGCTATTAGTGGGAGATGATGTGGATAGTTAGTGGAGGATGATGTGGATGGCTTGCATGTTGAGATAGACTTGCAGTGGAGATTAGCTTTATAAGAAATATATATATAGACATAGATTTCCTAGGGCAAGTGATACACTGTAGAGCTATGCATCACTTACTTCAGATTTACCGTTCCTAAGTCTCAGTTGCACTTCAA